TTATAAGCACCCCCTCCCCATAAAGCCTTATGGGGTACACTGTCACAGGGATTTCCTGCACCCCCCACTATCCTGCCTTTAACCCTATCCCTGTTCATGTCCTCGTCCCAGCAGAATGGGACATCTTTGGAATGCGGCAATGCTGCTGCTTGGTCATTTGCTGTGGAGCAACATGAAGCAATACCTCTCTTCCTGGGGCTGAATGAGCGCCCTGCCTCCACCACCCTCTATCCATCCATGAGCTGGGAATTATATACCCAGAGGCACTTGTATGCTATACCCGAAAGCAAAGTCCTTAGCCCTCCTCACTCACAGAAGGCACAAGCATTTGCTCATTTTACAGTGGTCTGTTTGCCATCCCTGCAGTACAGCACTTGGCTGGGCACATGGCTAGTCCACCAGCAAACCTTCAAGAAGCTCACAATGTCAAGATCTCTTCCTTTCCTTTGCCGTTCTTTGAGGGAAAAGAGATTTTCAGAGGCAAGGTTTTTAACACATACTCTTCTTAAAGGCTTCAGTCTAAACAAATAAAAGCACATGGATTCCAATTAATTACAGAAGTACAGATACTCATGTCATAACCCTTTACCAGACACTTCAACTCCCAGCTGACCTGAGAGGTAATAAAGCTAGATCCAGACCAACATTTGAGTAGCCAAAGTCCCTAATGCTCACCAGTGCCTTTATAGGAGTCCTGTATTGGATTCCCAGTTCTCCCCTTGTAGGAGTCCCATGCTGCTGGAGGCGGGACTGCTACAAATGGAGCTCTTAACAGTCAGGATGTGGGGTCGGGAGAATGCTGCCTCCTGTCTCAAAGGGTCCCTGTCAGCTGAGACGAGAACAGTGTTAAGGGAAGTCTGATGCAGCTGTCCTTGGCCAGAAGATTGGGAGCCAAAAGCAGAGCCTAAAGGGTAGGGACCCAAAAGAAGGGGGAATTCAAAAAGTCTCGTGGCCTCTCTCCCTAGTCCCAAAGTGAGAGACAACAGAATAAAACTAGCAACAAATATGTCTGAAAGGGTTAACTGGCATCATGCCTGAACACAAGAGACCTAGTGGTGACATTGTGTGCTACAAAGGAGGGGTGTCTGGGTTTGAATTCCAGACTCTTACACTCCCTAAAATAGCACAGATTCTGGGGACAAGGGCTAATTTTGTAGTGTTCAATGACACGTACCCACTGATCAGAAGTCAAATTCCAGCCAAATGAGAGTCTTAAGAAAAAGAGGAGAGACTAGGCAAGGTGTCCAAGCCAGATTCCTTGGAGTCAAAGACCCGACTCAGTTCCCCAGTGTACGAAGGAGCTCCAGCCTGTGGAGAGTATACCATGGGGGGGTAAGGACAGCTGGTGGCTAAGTAGTACTGGGGAAACTATGGCTGGGCTGGACTGACAACAATTAGAGAACCTAAACAAATAACTACATTGGGAGTCTAGCAACCACCTCCACAGCCCAACAGGCATGAGTGGCTGGGCGGGGCAGCTCCTGCACAGCCATTCCAGTTCATAGATTGTACGAGTGGCTGCTAGGCATTAGGGACACTCTAGATCTGTGTATTCATGAATCCTGTGTCCCTGTCCCCACTCAATATTGCTTTATGTGCCAGCCTGTTCAGAGCTGGCATGCAGTCCTCGGAGGCATTCAGGTAGTGCAGCACCCCACACATGAGAGATGTCTGCCTGCAGTCTCCCCTCTGCACTACAAGTGAATTTCACCCTGGGGATTTCAGGCCACGTCTACTGTAGTGATTAGTTGCACAAATATGCAAATTACACATCCCTCTGCTGCATGCACCCCTGATGACTCTTTTGTCTGTGTATAAGTCATTGTACCAGCCCAGGAATCTCACCCAAATGGGGGTCTGTTCTTAAATCACTGACATCTTATGATCAACACGGAAGTCCTATGAACATGCTTATTAATCCAACAGAAACGACTGTAAAGTAGCTCCTGAAGACTGGGGCCAGACTCTAATCTCACTTACACCACTGATGTCAGTAACTGATATCGGAATGTGGCCTGGGCTCTTGACTAGAAAGCTTGGCTGAGATTTTCCAGGCCACCTGAAGGCTTTAGATGCCCAGTCCTCATTACATTTAATGGGAAATGGGCATCCAAATCCGTTAGGCAACTATGAAAACTCAGCCCTTGTGTGTTAGATCCTACCCCTCTGTGCTAAAGAGAGAGAATGGCCTGAAACTGAGGAAAAGTGATTGAGGCTAAAAGCATGAGTGAGACTCATGTAGAGTATCAGAGGGGTAGCCTTACTTACTCATGTAGACTTACTTCTGGAGAAGGATGGAGTACAGGGCAAAAGCTAGAGGGGGGCACTCACATACAGCATGTGCCTGGAGGGCTCTTCCCAGCTTCTCAAACTTCTAACATCGGGTCTCGTTTGCCATTAGTAGGATTCAAACTCATTTTTAACACAATTCTGTCCCATTTCCTTCACAGTTCACATAAATACCATCAGTTTCACAGTCTCACAGCTGAGGCTGCAGCAAGATTTGCAGCCTGCTAAGGTTTGTGAGCTACAACACTACTGAGGTTGGATTATTACTGAAACCTGCTATCCATGTGATTTTGATGCAAATGACACATTTTGCTCATCTCTGGCCTGGATGCTCCAAGTGCAGCTTCTGAACTTCTACAATACTCATCCCAGCTTTAATACAGGGGTATGACCAGCAAAGACTACATGCTCCATCTTGAGCCAAGCAGAGTGCATTGTACACAGGGATGTGGAGCCTCTGCAGGCCACACCTCTGGGTAAGGGTGACTGCCGTGTGTTCTGTTTTATGAAAAATAGGGGCAACTATGTGACCTTCACCTAGTCACTCTTAGGAGATGGACTCTCCCAGTGTATATTGCATTTATCACTATGGTACTTACTCTGTTACTGCTTCCACCTCAGGCCGCTGAGATTTTCTGTGTATATTTGGGACCCATTTAACAATCAAATTTCCACTGTCTGGACAGTAGTCCTGCTTGGAAGCAGCAACCTCACTGAGATCCACCACATGGAGCTACAACATAGACATGGTATGATTAGTCACTTGTAGAGGTACTCTTCCCTGAGCCAGTACTGAGCCAATGCCAATGGTGCTGTGGGGTCACTGGACTACTGCAGGTGCCAAGTATTACATTGTTGTTTTCTTTCACATGAGAGAACTATAAAAAAATGCCCAAATCACTTGTGATCATTAAAGATTCTGAGGCACTTGTCACAAGAGACAGAATGTTAATCCTGGTGGCCTAGTCAAAATCTAAGGTAAATAATTATATTTTGCTGCCTTAAAATTCATCCTGTAATTTCATTTCTCCATGAGCAATTATTCTTCATTTCCCCTCCTAAAAACTCCATCTGTTGGGTAGTATTGCTGGAGGAAAACAGTTGCTGCATTCCATCCAAGAGGTGACTGCAGCGGATGAATAATCCTTCTAAAGTCTGCAAAGTGGCTTTGGGATGAAAGGCACTATGCAAATGAAAAGTTTTAATTATTATTAAACCTAAAAAAAACCAGCTAGCCAGATGCAACGTGAATGAGAGGAATCAAGTAAATGTAAGGCTCTCTCGGCAATATTAAAGGGGAACTGCAAAGGAAAAGTACTTATGCCTTTTGCTCTCCTTGATGATTGCATATCATAACTTTTCAAAAAGAAAACATGCTAAAAGCTCTGCTTGTTTTTTATATAAAAAATATCAAATCACAGTCTCCCTGGTTTTGCTGCAAAATCCTTTTGAGGGCTGTAGAACAAGATTTGGATAGGAACATTAGAACACTTTCCCAGCCCTCCGTTGAAAGCCTTGCCTCAGCCATCACCTCCCACATGAGGACAGGAATCAATACATGGGAAATGTTCAGAGCTGTTTTAAAGGAAGAGAGTTTGCTTAGCTGGATTTCCCAGAGCATAATTTCAAAGTGAATAATTGCAAAGACTGCGCCAACTCTCTTCTCCCCCAAAAAAGCCACAGAATCAATTTCCATTATTGGATGTAAAGCAATGAACAGCAGTAGGCTTGGCAGAATTTGATGATTTTAAAAAATGTTGATGGGTTATATCAATGGGTATTTAAGCATTTTTAAATTTTGTATCAATTTCAATTTTCACAGCTGCATAAAATTATGGGTTTTAAGAAAAAAATCTATTTTTATTGATTTAAATGTTCACAGTTGGAGGAAATTATGGGAGGGTGAGACAATTGGAGGTGGGGTTAGATGATTATTTAATGACAGACTTTGATATTCAAAAAATTAAGGCTTTCGAAAATAAGAACATAAGAATGGATCAGACCAAGGGTCCATTTAATCCAGTATCCTGTTTTTACAACAGTGGCCAGAGGGAATGAACAGAACAGGTAATCATCAAGTGATCCATTCCCTGTCGCCCATTCCCAGCTTCTGGCAAACAGAGGCTAGGGACACCATCTCTACCCATCCTGGCTAATAGCCATTGATGGACCTATCCTCCATGAATTTATCTAGTTCTTTTTTTAACTCTGTTATAGTCTTGGCCTTTACAACATCCTCTAGCAAAGAGTTCCACAGGTTGACTGTGCGTTGTGTGAAGAAAAAAAACAATCAAACTTCCTTTTGTTTGTTTTAAACCTGATGCCTATTAATTTCATTTGGTGACCCCTAGTTCTTGTGTTATGAGGAGTAAATAACACTTCCTTATTTACTTTCTCCACACCAGTCATGATTTTATAGACCTCAATCATATCCCCCCTTAGTCATCTCTTTTCCAAGATGAAAAGTCCAAGTCTTATTCATCTTTGCAGCCGTTCCATACCCCTAATAATTTTTGTTGCCCTTTTCTGAACCTTTTCCAATTCCAATAGATCTTTTTTGAGATAGGGCGACCACATCTGCATGTAGTATTCAAAATGTGGGCGTACCATGGATTTATATAGAGGCAATATTATATTTTCAGTCTTATTATCTATCCCTTTCTTAATGATTCCCAACATTCTGTTCTCTTTTTTGCCTGCCGCTGCACATTGAGTGGATGTTTTTAGAGAACTATCCACACTGATGACAAGATCTCTTGAGTGGTAACAGCTAATTTAGACCCCATCATTTTATATGTAGAGTTGGGATTATGTTTTCCGATGTGCATCACTTTGCATTTATCAACACTGAATTTCATCTGCAATTTTGTTGCCCAGTCACCTAGTTTTGTGAGATCCTTTTGTAGCTCTTCGCAGTCTGCCTGGGACTTAACTATCTTGAGTAGTTTTGTATCACCTGCAAGTTTTGCCACCTCACTGTTTACCCCATTTTCCAGATCATTTATGAATTTATAACCATTAAAACACAAAATGTCAACATCACATGTCAAAATATACAATATAAATATCCTTCAATCAAACTAAGTTCTCGAGCAGCATTTTCTTTCTTTCCTTTTCTGTAAATTTCAGTTATTAGTGATAGAAATATTTTTTCCTTGTGTGCGGTGAAATTGACATTTGCAGACATAGACCTAAATATCCGCCACACGGAGAGATGCTGCTTTTCTCTGTGCCATAACCCAAGAGTGCCCAAACAGTGTCCAGCTGAGGGCCCCATTGGCAACTTACCAGAAGCTAAATGGTTAGCCCTGAGTTCTATAAAAAGGAGATCCTTGCAACCACTCAACTTTCCCCCATTTAAATCACTCACATTTCCAACTCTATTCAAGTAGGTGAAGCTCATCTCTGTCTGTGGGATCGTGTGTGACTCTACCACAGAGTTCAGTCCTGGGAAATGAGTTCTTTCTGAACTGAAATATAGGCACAAACCAAAATCACAGTGAGACCAATACAAACTAACAGCATGCAAAGGACACTAGCTGCTATTAAGGTTGTAGTAGATAGAGCCCTGCGCGGATACAAAATTTGTATCGCATGTGATCTGCAAACATGGTCCGTGGATACAAAGCAGATTTGCAGGGCTCAAGTGGTAGATTCTCCATCACTGACAATTTTAAAATCAAGATTGGAGGTTTTACTGAAAGATCTGGTCTAGGAACTATTTTGGGGAAGTTCTATGGTCTGTGTTATAAAGGAGGTCACACTAGTGATCACAATGGTCCATTCTGGCCTTGGAATCTATTTACAGTATCTGTTATACTGAGCTTTTCCTCTTCAAATCACTTTATAAGCACTGTTAACACAACTCGGATTAATGCAATGGCAACAATGCACACACACAAGATGTTCAGGAAATTCAGTTACAGTGGAGAGCTCCTCCTTAACTCTCTGTCTTGGTGCAGCTGCCTTGTGTTCTCTTCCGTATATCACACAGGAAATTCCACCCATCCAGTAGAATTTCAGGGTTTTACGATCCCTCTCAACAGGTAGAGCAGTTTATCATGATGCTCTAAGAAGCACTAAAGCTTTGGATTAATATAAACTCTGGTGGCTAACGTGATCTAAACTTTGATGCTGAAACAGCTGGATTTGGAGGCCTTGGTCACAGTTGGCCTAAGTTTAGAAGGCCTCAGTTAAGGAGGATGGTGTTCAGGAGGGCCTAGCCAACTCATTCCAGATCAAGAAACTTGCAGATTACACTGGAAATTATCTTCCTTCCTGGGTATTTTTTTTTTCCTTTTTAAAAGGAAAAAAGGAAATCCATGGAAAAATAAGGGGTAACCTTGCCCTGAGCTTGAGAGGGGAAGCATTAAAAAATTAGGAAATGCCAAGGTAAGGGTGAAAATTCCAATTTTAAAAGGGATGTCACCCAGTTTGAACAAATCATACTTATTTCGGTAATTAAAACAAAAAGGAAACGAGCAAGAACAAAGATGAACAACAGAGCATAGGGGCAAGGATGAGGCTTTATTGTATTTTTTAAGAAAAATACTGCTAACAGATCATGAACAGCAGGTAACCCACACTTACACAGAATAGCTCCGTTCCCCTCGAGTGGCTGGGTCACTCATAGAGATTTAGGAGTTTGCCACTGGCTTTGAGCTAGCAAAGCTGGCTCTTTAGCTCTCACATCAGAGACTCAGACTTTTAGATCAAGAGGTTTGACCTTGCTACTAACAACTTACCAAGGGGCATCATGTTATAGACACAACATGGAACTAACGAGACACATGCCCACAATCACTTAACATGAACAGAGATGGCAGAAATGGGTGTAAAGTGATACCTTACTCCACTGCTACTCATGGTGGAGTAAGGTACTACTCACCATGAGGAAAGGTGACAGAACTGGGTCTTGGGCATTGGTCCTGTGAGTAGTTACCCAGATGCTTGACTTTACACAGTCAAGTAGTCCCACTGAAGTCAATGGGAACTACTCTCAGTACATAAAGTTTATCATGTACAGATCAAGGGCTTGGATTGTATGTGTATCCCTTTTCTATACCTTTTAATTTGTTTTGGTTTTTTTGGTCTACATTGTAAGTTCTTTGTGGTAGGGACTGTCTTTCTGTGGATTTGTGCAGTGCCTCGCACAAGGGGGACCTGGCACTGATATGAACAATATGAATATTTAATAACAATGTATCCTATATTCTAGAAGAGCAATCTGGTCTTTTAAATACATTTATTTCTTAAGCCCTGATTGTACAAACTAATGCATGTGCTTAACATTGAAATCAGTAGGTCTACTCACATGAGTAAAGTTCAGCATATGTGTAATTATTTGCAGAATTGGGGCCATAAGTGCTAACATTTTGCTCTGCAATGTATAAAACGCAGAAGGTGACATGCTCCATGCCCCATGGCAATTGCAATCTCTAAAACACTAATATTCTTCTCAGCCTCTGTCAGAAAAACAAGGGTGCCATCATTCTGCTACAGACTCTTAGTCCTGGGAATACTGACAACCTTCAAAAGTCATCCAGAGATTGGAACTCAGCAGCAATTCACCTGACTTCAGAATTTCGGTCAGAGAAGTCATAGACTGAAGTTTCATACAGAGAAGAAGGAGAGAAAGAGGTCTCAAGTGCAGTGAAGGTGGAAATAGTTCTGTTACAATTGGAACATCTGATCCTTCCTCGGGGAGAGCAATTGCTGGGGAAGTTTATAATCTTCAGTGTTGGTAATTCATCTAAAAATTAAAAGCAAAGACACTGTGAACACTGAGGATCTGATGTTACAGAATTCTACAGTTGGGGGGGACCATTTAGCTCTAACTATATATTGTCCATTTTAGATATTATTACAGCCTTGTCAGTGTCCTGTTAGCCCAGTTTATTAGTAACTAATTATAATATAATTAAGCCTCTGCCTTCCCTAGGGCTTTTTATCAGAGGATCTTAAAATACATTACAAGCAATAGTTAATTAAGCTTCACAACCCCACCAATTCCCAGACTAGAAAGATAAGGAACATGTCACGCTAACTTAACCCACCACCTAAGTGCAGCCACCTCTGCAGCTAGTTAACAGTGCAGAGCAATACTACAGGATATGGAGAATAATACAAATCTAATTGCGGGGGGAAATTTTAGGGATGTTGAATTTCATTGCTTCGTTGGAATTTGGCCGAGACGCCAAGTTTAATATCTCCTTCTTACACAGAAAGAGTCAGGGGATCTTTAATAACCACAAGTGGTCAAGACCTCAGTTTTACCTCTCATGTGAAAGACATTATTATAGAAATCCCAAAAACCATAGTGGGGTACTGGCTCAGTACTGACTCTAAGGGGAAAACGCCAACACTGAATCCAACAGCACTTCCTGCTGCACCTGAAGCTTTAGAAGTCTCTTACCCAGTCTTGTCTAATTGGGAACATGCATGCAATGTTAGTTAACATGTTTTCTAACACATTTTAACTAGCATGCTGTTAAACACGATTTTGGCCTTAGTGGCTTTATCTTCATTGCAAAAACAATGTGTGTTTTTGCATCAAGATAGCTGCCCTGATGTAAAATCCTAGCAGAGACAAAGCGGAGGTAGTTGTTACCTCAGTGTAGCTAGTTGAGGTCAATTCCAGGTGGGGGCGGGGGCGGTACAAGGACAATAAGTGAGTTATACATGTGAACCATGAGCAGGATCAGTAACCTCAGTATATTCATAATATATTCTAAGTACGAATATATTTCATATACATATTTAAAACTGGCAGGCAATGCAAGGAAAGATAGAAGAGCTGGAGGGTTTTCCTTCTGAGCGGATAGCCTGAGTCTCTTGAAATGTGCCTTCATTAGGAAAAATGTATATTCTTAACTCACTAGCTAACGCAAGATGAAATCCTAGTGACGAGAAGGCAGTTTGTACATGAGTTAGCAGGTGGAGTTAAAGACTGAGCTCCCTCTGTAAAATATGCAGATGACACAAATATCGGTGAAATGAGCAGGGCAGTCATACAGAGCAATCTGGATCGCTTGGTAAGATGGGCTCATTCAAACAAAGTGTATTTTAACACAGTCAAATGCAAAGTCATACATGTAAGAAGAATGCAGGCCGTATCTACAGAACTGTGGGTGTCCTGGATAGGAGTGATTCTGAAAAAGAATGACTCTGAAAAGGATTTAGGGGTCAGTGTGGACAAAAAACTCAACATAACCACCCAGTGCAATGCTATGGCAAAAAGAGCTAATGTGATCCTCAGATGAATAAACAGGGGAGTAGGGAGGTGACTTTACCTCTGTATACAGCACCGCGGACACCAATACTGGAATACTGTGCCAAGTTCTGGTATCCATCATTTTAAAAGGATGCTGAAAAACTGGTGTGCAGAAAAGAGCCACAAAAATAATCTGAGAGCTGGAAAAAATGCCTTGCAGTGAGAAACGTAATGAGCTCAATCTGTTTAGTTTACCAAAAAGACGATTGAGAGGTGACTTGATTACAGTGTATAAGTACCTTCATAGACAGAAAATACCAGGTACTAAAGCAGTGGTCCTCAAACTTTTAATAGCCGTGCCCGCCCCCATCTGTATTCACCCCAGGGGCCCCCCTAACGTTCCTCCCCACACCCCTAGGGGGGCATGCCCCACAGTTTGGGGACCTCTGTACTAAAGGATTATTTAATCTAGCAGAGAAAGGCATAACAAGAACCAATGGCTGTGAATTTAAATCAGACAAATTCAAATTAGAAATTAGGCACATTCATTTAACATTGAGGGTGATTGGAACAAACTACCAAGAGAAGTCGTGGATTCTCTATCTCTGTATCTTGATGTCTTCAAATCAAGACTTAAATGCCTTTCTCGAAAATATGCTTTAGTCAAACACAAGTTACTGGGTTCAACATAAGGATGACGGTGAAATTTTTTGGCAAGTGTTGTGCAGGAGGACACAGTAGATGATCCTTTCTAGCTTTAAAAAAACGATGAATAGTCTTTAACTTGACCTAACTTGTGTGAAAACTACAAAATGCCTTGACTGCGCTAGGATTGTCCCTGAAGTTGGCTAACTCGAGTTCAGAATAGATCTTTTTCCTCCTAGAAAAGACAGGGCCTCGGTCACTGGTTTTACCTTTGCTTTCTGAAGAAGAAGCCCTGCAGAGTGAGTCAAAGTTTCTTAAACGGACCCGAGGATGTCCCTGTTCAATCCTCCTTATAGTGTCCCAGCACTGTGGGTGTTGGCAAACAGCCATGTCACAGATGGTTTCATCCCACTGGCTGTCATCTGCAGTCACCATCTTTGCAACCATCCAGACATTAACGAATAGCAGTAAAATGGCAATACTGTATGTCTGAATACTCTGCAAAAACAGAAGAATTGAGCACAGTGAGAAATGTTAACAAGAACAAGAATCATCTAGATTGCCATAAAATAACAGCACAAGATGTCGTCATAATTTCCCACTTATATCCTGAGTTGTCTTCATATGCACCCACCCTAGGGACTGATTGGGACAGTTTGGTGACTGTGACCCTGGGAGCCACTCAATGCCAACTGGCAGAGGGCTCACCATACTGTAACTCACATCAGGTCTGACACACTCATTACCCCTGTGACGTTGCACTGAATGTGAATATGATGTAACTGGAATATGCATTATGCATAAGGTCTCTTGTAAGGTATCATTACAAAGATTATAACCTACTGGATATATTCATCCTATTTGTATGAATGTATCATTATTGTATCTGAAACTAGAAATATTAAGTAGAACTCTGAGGTCCTATTGTAACTATGCAAAGTGTGGGCCATTAATGGTGGTTTAGAATCTTGATGGCTCCCATTGACTACGACAATTGACTGTAAATGGCTCTGTTTACCTGCAAGTTTGCCTGTGTATGTGTAGGCCAGCCCCTGGGTAATGAAAAATGAGGTCTTACAGTGATATGTGACCATGTCACCTGATACTGGAATCCATCTTAAACCTGGTGCTTTTCCGTTTAGAAGGAGGTGTGGGGACCCAGAGAGACAAAGGATTCCCACCGTGTGCCAAAGCTATAAAAGGGGATGGAGCAGGACAAGGAGGGTCCTAATCATGAGAAAGCCCCTGCTTTTCATCTAAGATGTCTGCTGGAACTAACAAGGACTGTATCAGGGAAAGGATAGGGCCCAGACTAGGAAGGAGTCTAGTCTGTGAAAGAAGCTTACTGGAACATCTCTGAGGGTGAGATTTACCTGTAATCGGTTTCTTAATGTATTAGGCTTAGATTTTTTATTTTGCTTGGTAACTTACTTTGTTCTGTCTGCTATTACTTAGAACCACTTAAATCCTACTTTTTGTACTTAATAAATCACTTTTGTTTATTGATAAACCCAGAGTAAGTTATTAATACCTGGAGAAGCAAACAGATGTGCATATCTCTCTATCAGTGTTATAGAGGGTGGATAATTTATGAGTTTACCCTGTATAAGCTTTATACAGAGTAAAAAAGATTTATTTGGGGTTTGGATCCCATTGGGAACTGGGTGTCTGGGTGCTGGAAATAGGTGACCTGCTGAGCAGTTTTTGGTTAAAGTCTGCAGCTTTGGGGGCGTGGACCAGACCTGGGTCTGTGTTGCAGGAAGTTAATATGTCTGGCTCAATAAGACAGGGTTTTGGAGTCCCAAAGTGGCAGGGAAAACAGGCTCAGAGGTAAATTCAGCACATCAGGTGATAGTCCCAAGGGGGTCTCTGTGACCGAACCCGTCACAATCCCCAACACACTTATCATAATATGTATTGTGACAGACCCAGACCAGTGGGGTACAGGAGTCTGGTAGAGGGCAAATATACTGGTCACTAGTTTTCTGTTCCCTGAGTGACCAGAGCAGGGGCTTCACTAGAGTAATCAGAAACCTGCTAGAACCAGTTAAGGCAGGCAGGCTAATTACGACACCTGGAGCCAATTAAGAAGAAGCTGCTAGAATCAATTAAGGCAGGCTAATCAGGGCACCTGGGTTTTAAAAAGGAGCTCACTTCAGTTTGTGGTGGGAGTGTGAGGAGCTGGGAGTGAGAGGGTGTGTTGCTGGAGGACTGAGGAGCACAAGCGTTATCAGACACCAGGAGGAAGATCCTGTGGTGAGACTAAGGAAGGTGTTTGGAGGAGGCCATGGGGAAGTAGCCCAGGGAGTTGTAGCTGTCATGCAGCTGTTACAGGAGGCACTATAGACAGCTGCAGTCCACAGGGTCCTGGGCTGGAACCCGACGTAGATGGCGGGCCTGGGTTCCCCCCAAACCTCCCAATTGACCTGGACTGTGGGTTCTTCCAGAGGGGAAGGTCTCTGGGCTGTTCCCCAACCCACATGGTGAATCTCTGAGGCAAGAAAATCCGCCAATAAGCGCAGGACCCACCAAGATACAGGAGGAACTTTGTCACAGTATCTAAAAGGTATTGTGTAAGGTATCACATGTACACTGGTAACATGCTGGTCCCGAACATCATTGCATGATGCATGAATGGTTTGTGTACAAAGAGTTATATATGTGTGTGCTAGAAATATGTTATTAAAATGTGTTTGGGAGGCAGTGCATAAACTCAGCCTGCCCTAGACAAAGGAACATGCATTTACCTGTATGAGCAGCTTGATTACAGGCAGAGGACAATGAAAGTATATTTACATATACAGTAAACAAAGCCATCAAGCTGACAAACTGAGGAGGAGACAGTTTAGTGATCACACCAGGGGAGAGAATCAGCACCCCAGGAAGCTGCTCTTGAGATAGAGACAATAGCCTTTGGGAACTATAAGGGTGTGGTTAGATGTTTGGCTGCGTGTGTGTGTTCCCTATGTGTGCCGCCCGAGCCCTGCGCAGACCACTAGATCCGTTAAGGGACGAAGGCATCCAGCTAGGTTTATTGTCAACAAAGCATGGTACTAGTATCCCGCAGACTCTACCAGACCACTAATACATGTATGCCCGTAGCAATGAACCAGCTCAGTGAACAGCAGAACTTTCTGTTCCTCTCTAAGGCTAGACAAAGATACTCCCTCTGAAATACATTTTATAACACGATACAAACCAGTTAGTACTGCCCCCTGACATCGCTAATTATTACCTATCACCTTGTACATGTTGGTTTGATCAAAACATCTATATTACATACTGTTATTCTGACCTCATTTTTTAGAAGGGGTCAGTGTGTTCCTGTTATCCTTGGGTAATGTTTTTGTACCATCCTTGACACTGGGATGTTTTGGTACCGCTTGATATTGGGATGTGTTTGTGTGAGCACTGTGTGACTAGCACTTCTCCAGAATGTGTATTTTTGCAATAGACCGGATAATGGGAGGGTCTTCAGTTCTGTTCAGGAATAAAAAGCTTTCAGTGCAGCAGCATCACATCACCCAGCTCTTACACTGCCATGTGATGGGGATTCCAGAGACGCAAAGAAGCACATGGGGTGGGGTGTGAAGGCACTGGATCATCTCGCTGAGTAAACACAGATGGGGCTGGGCTCAGGCATTAGAACCATATTCTCCACCAGCCTCCACCCTCCCACCACCAGCCTGGGCAAGTAGAGGGGAGGGGCCGCACCACGGACGCACTGCTGGGAAACTGCGGAACCAGAAAACATGACAGCCCCCAGGAAACCCAAAGCAGCAGCCGCCCCCCCCCCCCCCCCCCCCGGCAACTCTGCCCCTGCTACCACCAGGGCCGACTTTAGGAAGTGCGGGGCCTGATTCGATCAGTTTCGACGGGGCCCCGGCAGGGATGACTAAAAAAAACACGTAAAAAAAAACGTGGGGCTTGTACTCACCGGGCTGCACTCCTAGTCTTTGGCGGCGGGTCCTTCACTCGCTCCGGGTCTTCGGTGGCACTGAAGGACCTGCTGCCAAAGTGCCTCCAAAGACCCGGAGCGACTGAAGGACCCACCACCAAAGACCCGGAGCGACTGAAGGACCCACCACCAAAGACCCGGAGTGCCGCCGGGTGAGTAAGAATTAAAAAGGCACCTCCAGCCAGGGAAGGGATTCTCTGCCACTTGCCCCCACTCTGGGTGGCCCTGCCACTGGGCGCGGGGCCAGATTCGGGGGAATTGGTGGAATTGGCCTAAAGCCGGCCCTGGGCTATCACCCCGCCACTCTGTGCAGTCCCCTCCCCCCCAGACCTGACCCCCGCCCACTCACAGCCCCCTGCCCAGCTCCTTCCCACCAGCGCCGACCCTGCCCATACAGCACCCTGCGCTCGGGCCGGGGCTGCCTCTCACCTGCCCCCGGCCGCAGCCTCTGTCGCCCGCTGGGGCACGTTACCCGGCAACAGCAGACGCTCGGGGAAGGGGAGGAGAAGGAAGCGGCCGCGGCGCATCTCGGGAAGGGGGAAGTCTGTCGCCCGCGCACTGCATGCTGGGAGGGGTCAGAGGTGAGAGGTCAAGGGCTGGGCGCGCGGTTCGGTTCGCGGGGCCTTTTGTCTGCACGCGGCCGGCGGCCGCCCTGCCCCGTGAGTGCGGGGCGTGAGGGAGCGGGCACCGTCGGACCCCCCCCCGGCCGCCGCCAGTCCGCTCCCAGAGCGAGCCCCCGCCGTACGGCCTCCCGGCCCCGGCGGTGTAGTGCGGCCCCGCGGGCGGGGCTGGGCTGTGACTCCCACTGACCCCCCCCCCCGGGGGGTCCGTTCATAGGCTGGTGGCGGGTAAGGCTCGCGCTGCCCCAGTGCCCAACGGCGGCTCGGCTGGGCTGGGCTGGGGGCAGCTCTCCTAGGGCCGGCGGGAAACTCGCAACATATTTCCCTGTAACGCCCGCCCGAAAGAGCAGCTGTGCTGTGAGACGGGCTGTTACTGGCTCTGGCGCGCTGAGGTTCCAGGTCTGCTCAGCTGACAAGTCAGCGGGCGGCTTGGCTGACTGCCAGCCCTGCAGACTCCCTCTGGGATCTGAGAACCAAGCCGGGCTCTTTCCTGCCTTTTCCTCTTCCCCAAGCATCCAGATCCTGCAGCTCCTGCGCTTGCTGACAGCTGAGTAGCCCCACTGTTGTGGCGGGTTTTGCTCAGGTTAAGTGATTGAAATTGATTTAATATCTCTGTTGACTATGCACAGGAAGTTAAGAAAAAGAAATCCAGGGAGTCAATGTTCTCTTGGTTCTACAGAGATACCAGGAATAAAGAGTGGTACAGACATTTTCTCATTCGTAGGCAGATGCCAGCCTAAACACAGGGGCAGAGCTGCTGAGTACACTTTACATAGCAGAACTACTTATAACCACTGTAATAGTGAGACAAGTGTTGTTTTATAAGCAGAGCTGCTCAGCAGAAAAACTATCTGATGACTAGTTCTCATTTCAGTTCTAGGTGTTCAAAGATGGCGGAAAGACCAGAGGACTTGAACTTGCCCAATGCTGTCATCACACGGATAATTAAAGAAGCAGTGAGTATTATCAGAGATATAGAAGTGTGCAAGAAGATTGAAGTGAAGACTGAAAACCATAAAGAAGTAAAATGTGCCTGTTATACAGAAACTGGGCCCTATGCTGTGTAATTTTTTAATCTCCTTTTGTGTTGCAGATGATAGAACAGTTTAACAGGAAAGTTGTCAACTTGAATTTCTTATCATTTACTAATAAAAGCCCTGACAATTCTTGTGGGTTTACGGTCACCTTTTTTTTTAGCGTTTTTTCTGCCCCTTGTTGGTTTGAGAGAGACCTACTCAAACAGGGAAAGCTGACTATTCATGGTAAAATGAAATTCTTTATGCTTAGTGCTGTCAAATGCTCAAGGTAGATTGGGAAAAATAGAGAAATACTTTTCTGTAATCTTTCTTGTATATATTATTTTTTAGAGTAGTAGGTAAAACATTTTCAGGTGGAATTTTTTTTTTTTTAAGTTGTAGCTTTTATAAGGAGCTCAACGTAGAAAATTCTGGGTTGTTTTCAACTATCCCAAGTGCAAAAGCTTGCATTTCGTTTTCAGCTTTAGCTGGTGTGAGAGATATGTCATTTGCTGGGTGCAGTGGTTCTACTTGTTTAAATAATCTGCCATAAAATATTTTTGTATTTAAATTAAAGATATGTATTCTATTTAATGCCAAGCAAACTTTATCTGAGCTGGCAAAAGAACAAGTTGACTACCTATTGAGATGGAAGAGAGACTGTTTTCTGACAGATAAACTGTACTGGATAAAAGGATTTTTTCCTACTTATCCCCCATGCTGCTTTCCTCCCCCCTTTCCCCAGGATCTAATATTGCATCCATTGCCTCATTTACCATGAACCTGAAATAATTCAGAGTGCTGGAAAACATTTCGATTCTGCACAGCCACATACTATGGTAATGGGAAATCACAGAAAACCCTAAGATAGATAGTTGTAAATTTCTTATAATTTACAGAGCACTGACAATATTGTATATGCTTGAACCAGCTCCCAAAATAAGAGCAGAGTAAAGAAGGAAAATAGCTACTAGATCAAGTCCAGTTCCTTGCCAGCAAATGAGATACAATATGTCTCAGTCATTAAATTGATGCTAGGCATGATCTTATCCAAAAGACCAAGAAGGATCAATGGATGGATGCTGCACGTTATGAGAATATCCTTCTATGTTAGGAATTTGGAAACAATTAAATGGACTAAGATTGAGGCAGAGGCCAAGTCCACTGCTGCTACAAAAGTTACTTTCCCTCTGTCTTCTGGCTATGTTCCTGATCTGGCTAAGCCCGTTCACAGTTAACCAGCTTCTTGTTGTACTTAGATGTTTGATGTATCTGGAATATTATTTATTATTATTATTTGTATTATTGTGGTACCTCGGAGCCCAAGTCATGGGCCAGGATCCCATTGTGCTAGTTGCTGTTCAAACACAGAACAAAAAGAAGGTCCTTGTCCCAAAGAGCTCACAACCTGAGACAAGAGGTGGATATAGGCAGATGGAGGAGTACAAGGAAACAATAGGATAATATTGGGCATCGTGACAAGTTCACTCTTTGTTAGGGTTTTTGTAGGCAACCTGGCAAAGGAGAGTTTTGAGGAGGGGTTTGAAGGAGGATAATGAGGTGGCTTTGCAGATACTTAGCGGGGACCTCCTCCCAGGCATGAGGGGCAGCAGGGAGAAAGCACCAAAGGGGCTCATTTGAAAATTTAACAAGTGCATGATGGAGGCTGGTATCATGGGCCGATCAGAGGTGAGAGTCAACATCTCAGTAGTGACTAAGAAATGATAGGTAGGGTCGGGATTGTTAAGGGTCTTGAAAGTGAATATAAGTATCTTATGATTGAAACACTAGAGAAAGGGGAGCCAGTGGAGGGATACAAAGAGATGGGTGACATAATCAGAGCAATGGGTTAGGACAATTATCTATGCAGCAGCATTCTTCTAGCCTTATGTCATGGATCTGTGCTGTGCTCCAGCTTTTAAACAGGCTCTTGAAGGAACCCCTTTAATGTGTCAGACTCCAAGGGGTCTCGCTCGTCCTTCAGGGTAAGCCATGCAGCCTCACCACCTCCTAGACTGCGTGTCTGCTCCAGCACCCCTGCTTCACACTGTGAGCTCTGCCCAGCGAGTCCAGCTGACATAGACTCCTGGTTAGAGACTTGTACACTCTTCAGGGACTAATGCACCTCACCAGTATTTGCATTAACACCCCCAGGTAGCATTTTCAAAACAGATTAAAAGGTTAAAGCATAGTCCATTCTGGTCAAACCAGAGCAATTCACCAGCCAACGTGTAGTGAACTCCATTTCAGGATCTATCTCCCTTTGACTCCTTAGTGAGACCCAGGAGAGAGCAGCCAGCCTCTTCCAGAACCAGAAGTCCACCCTTATCCTCTGCTGGTCATGTGTCAGTCCTTTGTTCTATAGCTGGGGTCTCTGCTCAGCTTCCCTGCTAAGAGGTGCAGAGGAAACCTCTTTCTCTTTGTTGCTGTTTCCTAGGTGTCATTGTTTTGGTCACTGGGGCTTTTCCATCGTCTCTTTGGGATTCTGCATTGATACGGAGTCACCTTCAGCAGGGTCCAGACAATTCCTGTCACTCTATTCACTGTAGCCCAAACAAGAAGGTGACCCCCACATCTGATCTTCTGCACTGCCCCAGACTTAATACTTTTCCTTCCACTGGGTAACAGGGCAAAGTGCAGAGGGAAACCGAGGCACACATTAGGATTCATTAAAATACTATAGAAAATTCATTTTCTCACATTTATTGTTGACTGAACTGATGGCTTTCAGTCCTTTCAGACAGGACTTGTTAGCCTCCAGATTTATATGATTTGAATTTCGTCTGATAAAATGACATTTCTTTTTTCCCAGCTTCCTGATGGAGTAAACATTTCCAAAGAAGCTCGGAGTGCAATATCTCGAGCTGCAAGTGTGTTTGTGTTGTATGCAACATCATGGTAAGCATCACCGGTGACCTGATCCAATGGACCATCTGATCTGCAGCTAGCCTTTTTAATGGCTCTCTTGGAGAGGATTTTTGCAGTAGCTGTAATGAAAGGCATGTTTATCATTCATGTAAATGAGGCATTATAAAGTTTCATCTGGTTTTAGTTTGTAATTTGACCTTTGTGTAACATAATCTTATGTTCAAAATTAGTTTCTTGAGTAAGTAGAATGCTGCCATGCTAACTTTCAAAGAGGGGCTAGTGATAAATCAACAGGGCAAATGCTTTGCTTCTGTGTCAGTGGCCAGTATTTGCTGCTTCATAATGCCCTCAGTTACTTGCCCAATATATACATCCTGGGGGCCTACAGAGGTGGTGGTGGATTATTTCCTGTCGCCTTCAGTGATCACCTTGTGTCCTGAACCGTCACATTTGATTTACCTTTATCACTACGCTTTATCATTTTTCAGAAAACACTGATCATAAAATTATAGAGCCTTTTTATAGCAAACATTAATTTACATAAGGGCTCCTTGTTCTTGGGGTATGTGAGCCCATTGTAGCCTTACGACTTCCCTTCTGAGTGTTAACCTAAGTAGTGTAGGAACTAACTAGGCATGTTTCATAGTGTATGTTAAATTACTCATTCAGGTTTAAAGGGTTTAGCTTCCTCCTGCACCTAAATTCTCTGTTTAAATCTATAGCAGTTGAAATTCAAACATCTTTAAAATGTAATAATAAAATTAAAAGGTATACCATCAACTTGAATACTAGTCAACTTTTAAAAAATGAATTCAACTACACTTGTAGTAACTACATATTTGTTACAGTGTCCTTGAATCGCCCTGCCACTTTTAATAGTTTTACAACCAGATTTAAATATGTATTTTCTTTCTTGTTACATGTGTGAAAAACCCACATAAATGGAAAACTCCCTGACTATACAGGGAAACAATGAAACTGACTATATACACATAAATGCACAATGTAAACAAAGGTGGTTTTTTCTTTATTCTGTTATAGTTAGATTCTCGGTCAGTCATCCTAGGTATTTCTTATAATAGTGATTAAACATTTCTGAGGGCTGAGGTTGTTTTTAAGAATCAGAGGGGTAGCCGTGTTAATCTGGATCTGTAAAAGCAGCAAAGAGTCTTGTGGCACCTTATAGACTAACAGACGTATTGGAGCATGAGCTTTCGTCGGTGAATACCCACTTCATCGGATGCATGTCATCCGACGAAGTGGGTATTCACCCAAGAAAGCTCATGCTCCAATACGTCTGTTAGTCTCTAAGGTGCCACAAGACTCTTTGCTGATTGTTTTTTAAGTTGGCTCTCTCCCTTTAAACAGACAGTAGTTGGGGTTGGTTTGCTCTTTTGATATTAATTCTTCTTCCTCTCTTTAGTGCAAATAACTTTGCAGTGAAAGGGAAGAGGAAAACACTGAATGCTGGAGATGTCCTCTCAGCCATGGAGGAAATGGAGTTCCAGAGATTCATAGCCCCTTTAAAGGAATCACTGGAAGGTAACGTGTTCTCTAACTGTACAATAAATTAGTCCTAATGACACTGAGTCCTATTTACCCAGAAGTTTGGACATCCAACTCTTATGTTCCCTGAATCATTTTTTTTTTTTTTTTTTTTTAAGCCAGACATTGCAATTTTTATGGGGACATATGAACATGTAGTTTAATAGAACTGATATGATGTAATTTCACAAAGGTGACTCATCTAATCTATCTCCCCCATCACTTCTGTGTAGAGGAAGTCTTGTGTTCTGCGTAATGCACATGAGCTCCTGTATCCTTCTCGCCATCTTTCTGCTGAACAGCACTTAACATAACTTCCTGTGGAGTCTATCACCACAACTCAAATAACAGGTTGGGTATCTGCTATCAAGAGGGTCAGTGCTCCATTTGTTGTAAGCCTGGAGAGTAAGGGGAGACCCTGGGTCACAGGAAGGGAGCCACCTCTAGATTGTCCCTACAATGGATACAATGACATACGTGTATCTAATTGTAGTTCTCTTGTTCTGTTAGTTTACAGGCGTGAGCAAAAAGGCAAGAAAGAAGCAAGGAAAGACAAAGATAAGAAGGCAGACTCTGAAGAACAAGACAAGAGCAGGGAGGAGGAGAATGATGATGATGATGAACGGATGGAGGAGGAGGAACAAAATGATGATGAAGAAGTAGATAACTGAGCTTCCTGGAGAGACAGACATGCACATGGGCCTGGGCTCTCTTCCTAGGGATATAAATACTGTAAATCAACCTTCTTGTGTCCTCTTGTTTTCCAGTTTCCAGCAAAGCTTCATGTTGTTCCTCTGGGGCCCATCCCTCCTGGCTTTAATTCTCAGATGTAGGCGGGCACCCTGAGGAGACTGACACAGCTTCTGGAGTGGAAAGGCCACGTCTTCCCCATTGCATGGGGCACTTGGCACACTCTCTCCAGATTCTGAAAAGCCATTGATTGATGTAAATGACTGGTCTTTAATACTGGATTTGTTCTGTGATGCAAAATGGAATTTCAGAGATTCCAACAGAGAAAGCTGTGCAGGAGAATCTGCAGAAAAGTGTTGAATAAGTTTGTTTTTGCTAACTAGGTCTGAGTTTGAATTTAATAGGCCTTAGGCCTGCTGCATTTAGGTTGTATGTAATATGTTAGAGAGGTGCCCTAATGGTTTAGAATGCTGCGCAGATGAGGGTTTTGTATAAGGTGGGGATTGAGGTTGTCTTAGCTGGATCCTTTCATTCTGATTGTGCCTTCTCTTTCGAAAGTGACTGACAGTCCCAGTAGACAAGGATCAGCTCTCCACAGGACTGACTCTTCTGCCCAGGATCAGTCAAATTCAAAGGACTGTACTGTGCTTCTGTAACATAACTTAATACCATAAGTGCTTATTTTTGTTTTTAAAAAAATACTGAGAGCCTGACAGGGTTTTTATAAAAATACCTGAAAGAAAAGTAACTGCTAAGAAAGCTTAACTGGGTCCCAAGTGTGATGCTGGGGGAAGGTTTGGATTGAGTTTCTGGCAAACTATTTCCCAAGGTAATGTGGATCGGGCCCATGGAAGTTTTAAAGGAAGCGTCATCCCAATTTAATTGTTTTTCCTACTTGTAGTAGTTTTGGTCTTTCTGTACTTGAGGTCTTGCTCCTGAACACCTTCCCCTTTTACATGTGGAGAAGGTACTTCCTGTGAGGAGCTCATCCTTTAATAATAACCCAGTTCTGTGTAGTCTTTAAAGAAAAACTTAACTCTTATTTGACCTAAACTAAAATCTGACAAAGGAAAGTTGGAAAAATTTGAAATAAGTTAAAAATTGTTAAAAATTCACCAGTTCTGTTGATATACCAGTTAAAACATGAGTGAGTGCTTGTATGAAACAGCACAACTTTGTTTTTCACTTCTGCTGGAGCAACACACACAGAGCAAACATTGCAGAAGTTATGCTGCTCTCACATTGCTACAGCTATGATAACTCCTACATGCAGATCCCAGATGGAGGAAGTCACTATCTGACAATCAGCAAAGATCTGTTCTTCAGCTGCTGCAGGACTCCACATTTAAAACAACTGATGATGTGACTGTCTCTGTAAAGGTGTTCAGTTATACAAGGAGATCATCCTCGCAGCTCTGTTTTTCTCTTGTAATACATACGTGAGCTCCATCTCCTCTTGGGAAGGAACAGTATTTTATTTAAATAAAAGCCAAGTTCTCTATGGAAATGGGTCCGGTGCTTACTTCCTCCAGACAGTAATAATAGAAGCTATTTTCAGTTACACAACCACAAACTGCCCATGTAGCCAAAGACAGGTGCCAGCCTCACATAAAATTGCTGAAGGAGTATGATAAGAAGAGTGGTTTTAACTGGGCATGTCATCAGACTTCTGCTGTGAGCGAGTCATGGGGGCTTGGATCCATAAAGGGACTTGGCGTGTTGCAAGGAGTAAATCAGGAGGAAGAAGACTTCATATAACCTGTAGCCAGGGAACTCCCGCAGGATGTAGGAGACCCCAGTTCAATTCCCCTCTCTGCCTGATGCAAAGGGATTTGAACAAGGATCACCTACTTCTCAGGTGAGTGCTCTAGACTATAGAGTGACTCTGGTTTTGGCCCAATTGATTGTTAAAGTGGAATAGCTTCAACAAGAGTGAGTGAGACCCTCATCAGAATATCCCATAGTCCAGTGGATAGGACACTCATTTGAGAGGCCTTTCATCTTACTGAGCTTGTGCAGAAAATCTAGTCCATGTTTCTCAACCTTTTTGAGACCAGAGACCGGCTTGTTGCCTTCCTAAACTGTCAGGGCGCTGCTCCACGGACAGGTCGTTGAGAGAAACTGTCCTAGACCTTTCACAGTTTGGATTCAGTCAAACCATGGAACTAAAGCAAGGAAGTGAAGGGATGTTAGGTAGAGGGTGGCCCTACAGTCTTCATTCACCTGGCTGCATCTCTGTCACCAGACTGCTTTGCTCACTGAGTCCCCTACTAAGGCTGAGGTGGTGCTTGCTGGAAGAAGGTGAGGTTTCAAAGAGCTAGTAGCTACAATGTGGTTTACACCAATCCAAGACACCTGCTCACAATGTAACCAGTCAGCCTGCTGGCCAGAAGTACTACAACACTCTGCTGTTGCTGAGAGCCCTTGTATCCCACATCTGCAACAGATTAATTCTCTCTCTGGTTGGGATGCAGTCTTCTGGCCAACATTCTAGGTGCTGACCTAGCCTCGACAGCAGACAAGCTGCTGCCTCCCAGATGGATTACAGCAGTACAGTTTTGTGGGCTTGAAAGTATGAACTCTGGCTGGTACAACGGGTGTCAGTGTCTCCTCAGCAACACAGTGTATTAGTAGTACATCATCCTTGTCCTTTGCTTGCTATGCTGGCTTCCCATAGAATACTGCATCACGTTCAAGGTCTTGGTCCTTATTTTCAAAACATCTAATGATCTGGTTGTAGGATACCTAAAGAGATTGTGTCATTCTCTGGGCCTATGAGTGCTCTCACCAACTCTGCTCCATTGGCACAATGCTACCACTAGGGTGAAACTTGTCTTTGCAGGAGATGGGGCCTTCTTGGAGGCTCATCCAGGACTGTTACTTGCTCCAGCAAGAGTCGAGATCTGTGCAGAACCTTTCCAGTCCAAGTGCAGATGCTATTTCTGAGACTTCCTCATAGGGAACCCGCTGGAGAGTGTCTAGCAGGAATCCACTCTGGGGGCGACCAAGGGGTGGATCATGGCAGCGAGGGCTGAGAGAAAGGTTGCAACCTACTTCCCAGCTGCAGAAGAGCTACAGCTGCTGCTGTCTGGGAATCCTGAAGCAGCCAAGGGTCCAACAGAACCCCTCAATGGGGAACAAAGGGGGCACAAACTCCCTCAGTGGGGGAGCAGATACCCAGGCCACCACCAGCTCCGCTTCAGCTTTGGTGTCCTTGAATTCACTTCCTTGCTTCGGCATGGGAGCCTAGACAGTTGTTAGGCTGTTTCTTTAGTAAGACCAGTACGGAAAGGACTATCCCTCTGCTTATTCATGGTGTTCCTGGACTTGTCAACAGATGGTGCTCATCCCCCTGAAATCAGGCAGTTCACTGCTCCGGGGACTGCCCTGCAGTATTGCAACCAGGAGCTGGATTTTCCCATGTGTGTGTTGGAGAGTTTCTGCCTTTCCACCAATCCTGACTAAAATGTAGATCTACTGTGTACAGATCATCAGCCTTCCTAGCTGGTCTTCATTTCACGGCTTGATTTTCTAAACCAAAGTAGAAAGAATTCTTGTTTGGTTTGTGTATTGCCTAAGCAGCCTTCCTCCTGCTCCTCCATGTCCAAGCTCCTTCCTCAGCCGCCTGGTGCGGGGAGCCATTCAACTGTTTAACCAAACTTCTCTCCTCAGATTGCTGGGAGCTCCAGGCTGATATTGATCAGTTGCTTTGGGTTGCTGTTAATTTGCACCCATGTAATTTAAGTTCCAAGCACATCACTATCAGCTAGCCTTGACTACAGTTGGCCTCGGCCCCTCCACAGAAAGAGGCGCTCTCCAGCCAGAGAATGGGCATCCATGGCACATTTGTTTCTGCTGATGCATTGGGCTCTGTTACTTTGTTATTTCTCATGCAGTTAACTCAGTTCATTTAAACACGGGAAGCATCACAGAACAAAAAGGGGGTGAGGAGGCAAAGAATGAACTAGTTAAAATAAATGGGCCAAATTCATCCCTTGTGTAAAACTCCATTGACCTGGTGGAGTTCTAACAAGGATGGTGTTGGCTCAGTCTCCCTTTGCGGAATCAATGGGTGTCTGTCTCAGGAGTCACTACGTAACACTTCTCTGACGCCCACCCTGGCAAGTTCCTGAATATTTAGAAGTTGAAGTTGTGCAGGAACCCTGATCTGGCTTGGCCACTGCAGAGAGTGTTACCATGCAGAGATCTGGGACAGGAACATGATCAAACTAGCATCCCCCGATCCTGGGGGGTGGATTGAGAAATGGCAACAGGGAACCCTTGCAAGGCAGGTGATCTGGCAGTGTGTGCTGGGAGCTGGTGTGATGTGTGGCTGACTGGCTATGGCAGTGGCAAAAGTTGTTTTCATCTCCAAAGTGAGATGAATCAGAAAGCTAACGATCAAGTGGGAGTCTCTTGCTTTACGACCCATCATGTTCTGACTGACCTACCGTGTCTGTAGTGTTTGGAAGGCCCATCCTTCCCTTCCCTTCCCAGGCCTGAGCACTCTGGCCGAGTCTGTGTTACCTCACACTTACTGTTTCCTCACCCTCAAGGGACTCTGAGTTCATGGCTGCATTTGGGGCTGGCCCAGTACAGTCACAGGTACAAGATCGCAACAGTAAAATATCAGGACATGTGGAGGGGGGGTGATTTACCGTCCCCCCCCACCCCACTGAAACCAGGAGCGGAGCTGTGAAGCGCCCCTCCCCTGGCGGCGTCCTCCCCCCGGTAGAAGCTGGGAATGGAGCTGTGGGACTGAAGTGGGGCTTGGGGTTCCTCGCGGCTCTGCTCCCAGTTTCAGTGGGGGGGAGGGCAGGCGTCAGGGCTCGGGGCTTTGGCTACGGGGAGGGGAAAAAACAGTGCTCCCCTCGTAGTAAAGCCCCAGTGCCCCCCACAGGGCTGAAGCCAGAAACAGAGCTACAGGGCTTCTGAAGCCCCAAGCCCTGGCGCAGCCAATGAGGCTGAAACTGGGAGCAGATCTATGGGGCTGAAGCCTTGAGCCTCAGCGCTCACCTCAGATCTAAAACCCTGAGCTCTGGTGCTTCCGAGGGTCAGAAGCCCAGAGCCCTGACCCCCTCCCCGTGGCTGCAGCCCTAATCCCCTCTACCCCCCACAGTAGCTGAAGTCCGTAACATCTTGTTTGGATTTATGGACTTTCGGAGTTAGGGACAATCTCCATTCCAGAAGTGTCCATAACTCTGACGTTCTACTGTACCAAGTTTTAAATTTTACCTGGATATCAGGAAAAACGGCGTCCCAATCTTACATTGATCGGGACGCAGGACAAAGGGTTAAATATCGGGACATCTGGTCACCCTAGTCGCAGGCTTAGTAGCTGAGTATAATCATCCTTGCAGCATTCCAGAGTGGTAATCAGTTACAACCCGTTAAAGAGAGACTGAGAGAAGCTAACTTTCTTTGAGGTCTTCCTTCCCTCCCCAAAGGAGGCTCTTATAAAAAGCCCCCGCCAATGGGAGCTGTAGAGCCGGTGCTCAGGGCAGCACCTGCGGGCGGGGGGCAGCGCACGGAGCCCCTGTGGCCACCCCTCCGCCTAGGAGCCGGAGGGACATGCCAGCCACTTCCCGGGAGTCAGGCACGGAGCCTGCCTTCCCTGCTGACGCTGTAGCCAACTGGACTTTTAGTGGCCTGGTCAGCTGTGCTGACCAGAGCCGCCAGGGTCCCTTTTCACCCAAGCGTTCTGGTCGAAAACCGGATGCCTGGCAACCCTATGTTTGACGGATCTTCAACTTGCTTCTTTGATCCAAACACGTTCTGCGCTGGAGTTCCCTACGATGGACAGGTAAATACTGGCTCCTCCCTTGTACTGGTTTCCCATTCCTGCTGAGAGCAGAATTTGAGGAGAAAAAAGACTATGACTACATTGATGTGTGGAAGGCAGCAATCTCTCCAGCTGCGTTTCTACAGTACTTCGCACAGTGGGGCCCAGATTGTGAGTGGGGCTTTTAGCCGTTGCCACAATCCCCATGAAATTCTCCAGCTCTTGACTTTACTAACTCATTAAATGGTCTCTGGGTCTCTAACCGTTAACACACTGAGCACGTGGAGAAAGTTTGGGTTTAATACAAACGGAGGGGCTGAAGAGTGTAAATGTGAAGAGGAGACTTATTCCGGCATGAGTAGATCTGAAAGGTGAGGGTTACACAGGGCAGGCTTCTAGCAGCAACAGAAGAGACCCTTACCCTTCACTTACAGTGTATCCTGCAATCACTGACGGTGGAGAATACTGCATGCTAAGACAGCATGGTCTCACTCCAAGGCTTCCTTTAGCACAGAACTAAATCTACAATCCCCTTTTCACTGTCAATAGGTTACTGAAGTTTCATTTGCAGCTGCTAAGTGCATCATCACCAATTCTCTAGCTAGGCCTGAGACATAGCCCCATTTCTAGGCTGCTCAGTGCCAGCAGGGTGCCCATCTCTGCAATGCGGTGAGCAAAACTTGCTGTTGCTTACTACTGCAGCCACATGCATAGGGTGCCTCAGC